TGTTGAACCAACCTCTCCAACTGGTTCAATGACGTCTGGCACTGTTGAACCAACCACTGTTGAACCAACCTCTCCAACTGGTTCAGTAACGTCTGGCACTGTTGAACCAACCACTGTTGAACCAACCTCTCCAACTGGTTCAGTAACGTCTGGCACTGTTGAACCAACCACTGTTGAACCAACCTCTCCAACTGGTTCAGTAACGTCTGGCACTGTTGAACCAACCTCTCCAACTGGTTCAATAACCTCAATAACCTCTGGCCCGGTTGGTCCGACCTCTCCACCTGGTTCAGTGACCTCTGGCCCAGTTGATCCAACATCTCCACCTGGTTCTGTAACAACACCTTCAATACCAACTACTGTGACATGTCACAATGGTGGTACTTATAATGGAAAAATCTGCATATGTGTCCTTGGGTTTTCCGGTGATAATTGTCAAAATGCGGTACCAGTAAAGCCAGGTATAGTTAATTTTCTATAATTAAGTTTTATTCCTCTCAATCATAGATTTCACTCTCATGTTAGATCCCTGTAACTTTTAATGAATTTATTTATTTATTTATTTATTCTTTTGTCTTTCCAGGTGCATTTAATCAGTCAGTGATCATTAATGTGGTGGTCATGAAAGTTTACATTCCAGAGTATGACAACCCATCAACAAATGAATACAACGAATTTGTTGAAAATTTTCTGAATATGGTAAATTTATCCACATCCTTTTGTCTTTAGAGTGTTATTTCTAAATGTTTTGTTAATAATCTAGTCTGCAAAAATAAGTATCTGCATATAATCATTTATAATACCTCTCAGTCTGATGATTTAATCATATTTAATTCAGTTTATTTTCATAGCGCCAATTAACAATGTCGACTTGAGGCACTTTCCAATTCAGTCACAATCTGAGCTTTAATCTTCATGTAGCACAGAGCGTAGCACACTAAACATAAAAAATTAATTACATTTATTTTATTTTTTTATGTAGCACTAATTCAGATGTCCTGGGATACACACCCAGGGCATCTTTACTACAAGGCAACAGCGCTACCAACTGTGCCACTGTGGAGTCCATAAAAAAGTCTAAATCTTTCAAAATTTAACAGCACAAGCACCAAGTTTAAAGTAAATCTATATATTGCTCAGTCCTACATTTTACCCTAAGAAGACATTATTAAACCCTACATCTATAGTCTATAAATCACTGTCAAATGCTAATTGTTAATTTCATTAAAAAAAATAAATAATATTATTTATTTAAATTCTAAAGATTTGGTGGTTCAGAATTTAATAGTTTATCATAATAACAACAAAATCACATTTTGGCATCCTCTCACATAGACACATAGCTAGAATTGTAGATAGTACAACTGAAATACAGTAAAGCAATATGACCACAAGATAGGTCACAAAACCACTAAATATCATTTAGGCTACTTTTACACAAGACCACTGTGAAAAACTTTTGGATGTTGCTTGGGGAAAAGTTCCAAATTTGGACAAAACCGCAAATTGAACAAATCAAGCTGCACACATAGCACATTACTATCTGCCATTTTTTTGTTGTTATCTGTCTGTGCATTTGTAGAAGAAACTCAGCAGCTGTGTATGTGTGCTATGGAGTATTTCACATTAACTCGTCAGTATTTCATATATTTTCAGGGATCCTTTTCAGGGTGTCCCTGAAAAGTTTCACTCTCAGAACTAGTTTCAAAAAGTCCTGGTGTCAGAGACTCCAATCACTGGAGACGTGTAAACTTGGGTGACAAAACGTCCTCTTTTCCCCAGACATGTCCACTTTGTACGTTCTGTTCAGGTCATCTGAGAGGCTTTCTGTGATGGATGAAAATATCCAGGTTTTCATTGTTTTTCAGGGCACCAGTGGGCTTATTTAAATTGCCTGGTGCAATGCATGCATGTGATTTCTTCTGAACTGCTGGATATTGACTGGTTTTTATTTGTTCATAGATGGAACAGATGGTGCAAGCTGCGCTGCAGCACTGTTTCTGATGTTTGCAAAGCTCTAGTGTAGTTGTACGGATGAAACAGAAAAAAATAATTTCCTTCACACCGTCTGGTGTGAAGAAAAATGGCAGCAGAGTTCATTGTGCATACAGCTGGGATATGAGCTTCAAGACTGTGTGACAAATGCGGCTAAGATTTCATACGGGGACACAAAAAGTATAAACAGGCTGTGCAAAGTGACATTACATCCTCACTAATTATTTCTAATATTTTTGTACTTGTTAACTGAAGTCAGTTAGGTGACCTGCTTGCTGTCAGGTTAGAGTAGGTCTATGGGTTATACAAAACATGTTCACTTCTTATTTGCACAAAATGATTTTTAGATAATGACATTTCAGTTTGCTCAGTTCTGCCTATTTTGATCTCCTTTCAGAACGATCCGCTTTAGAGCCGTTGTCACTTTAAATCTAACTAAGCTGTTGGCCACGCCCCCTAAGTCAATGTTGAACTTGCATGTGAAAATGGAAGCAAACAGATGCACAATTATACAGCCATACATCTTCTCCTGCACAACTAATGAGAATGCAGCAGGCAACAACAAATTACTTCTCTTTTCCAGTAGCCATTGTAGCGGTAAAACCAGCTGACAAGATATGCTGGAGCTTTGCTTGGTTTTCTTGGTGATGAACTGGACTAGGTTGGGGTTGCTAGGTAACGATGCAGTGTGACCCAACAATCAAGAGACTTTTGAAACGGCTTGTTTTCAAGTCCCCAAAAAACATTAACTTATTGCCAAAAAACAGGTGGATTAGTGTTTGAGCTGTTTTTAGAAGTAGATGAGTCTCAAAAGCAAGGACAAAAACAAGGAAAATGTGAATTTTGCATAATAGATCCCCTTCTGCTATTCTTTCCAAATACTTATAGAAGGCACACTTTAAAAATGCTATTAAAAGTCTGCTTTACGTAAGAAGAGTATGATTTAAGCATTTCAGGACTGGGTCAGGTGTTCCCTACTGTGGAAAACATGGTCACCCTAATCACACCAAAAATGTTACAGTTCCATGTAAACATGTTCCACTATCTTCACTTCCTCCTTTTAATCTAGAATGTTTTTTGAACTTGCAGTAAAGGTAGCATAGCAAGAAAAAAAATTTGGTCAAACTTAGATGGGGAAAAAAACCCAAAACATCTCTTCACTTTTCCACCAGTACTTCCATAGAAACAAACCTATAAATGTGTAGTGATACACACTTTTCAGAGCTGTAATTTCTGTAATTCCTAGAGTCTTTGATATTCATAAATATTTGATAATTATTGTGGCAGCAAAGTAACCTAAACACAGGCTGGCACTCATGAAATTAAAACTAATATTTTGATATAAGTGGAATTATTTGTTCAGTAGCTGTTATTACTGTGTTTTCCTTTTCAGATGAAACCAAGATACAAAGACGTTCCATTTTTCAAAGATGTTATTGTGACCAAGTTAAGGTAAACAAGCCATTAATAGTATATTTTATTTGCTTATAATGTTATCGTCAAGATATGGTCATTCCAAAAGGAATATTTTAGTAATGTGATTTTAAGCAACAAACTGTATAAAACCTCTTCAAATAAAGTGTTACCACTCTTTTTAAATTGCAAAGTCATATTTGACAAGATTTTTGTCTTTGCTTCTCTTAGCCGCACAGGTCCTGCTTCAACATTTGATCACACTGCAGAGGAGGTAAAGCAGTTTAAACACTCTACAAACTAATAATAAATAATAAACCCAAGTGTGAACCTCATAGCTGACTAATTTCTTTCTTTCTTTATCTTTATTTCAGATAAGAGAAGTCAAAGCAAAGGCATTCAACTTTAAAGAAAGCACAGACAAGTAAATAAGTGTACTTGTTTTTTTTCCAAAGCAAAAAGTGAAAACCTTTTTGTTGAGTGAACAAAACAATGCTAAATAGAATCTGCCTAAAAAAAACCTCCTTCTACAGACAAGCATAAATAAATGAAAAGATTTAGGGAAAAAGAAAATATTTTCTATGAATACTTCTGAAAAAGAAACAAAACAAAACCTCTATTTTTCTGTTGAAATGTATTATTTTTTTAATTGAAATATTGAAAAATAGAAGTTTAACAAACTCAGAGTACCTCCATGAACTCATTGTTGGCTTCACCAAGCAAGCAAGTTCTTAGTTACTGGAACGACTGATATCAATCAATAAAATGAACTCTGAGTATCTAAACCTTGATTAGGCCTTGTTCAGAGTGAAAAGTCATTATGAGTTGAGCCCAGATACACTGATTCACCACAGTACTCAGTGGAAAATCAATAAAAGGAGTGACACTGCAGATCACATAAGTGAATCTTCAAGTGAGCTATTCAGTTAATTCCATATTAGTTCTGCAATATATTTGATAAATAAAATCATTGGTGCAAATCATATTGTCTGATTGTTCTTCCATCCAGAACATCTGCATATGATTGCCACTAATCTGAATGACATCACGGGCTATCTCTGTAGCTTCTTGTGCATTAACTCCAGCTGCTAACTCACTTCCCAGGATAGCGGTAGTTTTCAAGTACACTAAAGACTTTCCTTTCCAGACGTGGTAGTTGACTTCATCTTGGTCAAACCACAGCAGCCGGCTTCTTCCTTACATCGTTATACCAGGAACTTGCCTCGGTCCATGATGCTTGTGCATTTGGGTCCTACTCCATCAACCACTGCCATGACAGAACTGAATTCATTCAAAGCTCCACCAGACATCGCAGACATAGAAGGTCTGCTGCTGAAAAAGCTCCGTCTCCCCTGGTAACAAGCTGAGTCCTAGGAAGAGTCGGTTGTTGGTAGAGCTCTTCTGTTCATGTAAAACCTCAGAAAGATAAAGAGGTGCCAAACCATTTAAACATTTCAAACTAATAAGATCTTATCAATTCTAAAAAAAAAAAAAAAAGGCAGTCAGTGGGGGAAATTCAATACAATGGGGCAAAATGTTCTTTCTGCCTTATCCACATTAAGAGACTGCGGCGCTTTAATAAGCTGACGATTACGAAAAGAGACTAGTTAATCCAGGTAGAGAGAGTTGCGATAGTTCAGCCTAGAAGTAATAAAAGTATTAATAACCATCTCCATCTCAAAGGCATTTTGGGGAAAATAATTCTGGATCTTACTAGAAAGGCTCTGATGATAAAAGCTAGATTACTGCAGTGACTTATTTCAAATCTGAATCAAAGATTGGCCCCAAGATTCCTAATGGATATACAGCCAAACGAGTCCAACGATCCATCAACACTGGCACTTCCTGTCAGCAGGTTGAATTTACCAAATAAACTTCCATCTATTGTTTACATAGAGTAATTTCTGCTCTGTCCAAATACTGCAGTAGATTCTCTGCTGAATGGGATGGATGGCTTTTTATGGAAAGGCAGACTTGAATGTCATCTACATAAAAATGGAATGATTCAACTTTCATTTCACTTTTAGAAAGTGGACCCAGCTACAAGAGAAATATGACAGGACTAAAACAAAACCTTGTGGTACACCACATCTGAGGAGCAGCAGCTGACATTGTCTGATATTTGAAAGCTTATAACATTCACAATATTTTGTTGGTCTCAAACACAAACAACAGTAAAAAAAAAGTGTATTTCATATACAGAACAGTTGTACCTGTTTTTAAGATAAGGAATGTCTTAATTTTAGCTAATTCAGAAAATTTGTCTCCCTCAGTGTAAATGTCGCACATGATGTGATTCTGGAAGTTAATAATGGCAACCATGAAGCTCAATATAATCAGAGCTTTGAAAAGGTTGGAGAAATACTTACAGAAGTGGAAGGTAATATAAAAAATCATTCTTAAAGAAATCACAACTCAAATCCTCAGTGATGCTTAATTTTTCTGTGGAGATCAAATTACTGTTTTCTTTCTCCTTTGATTATTAGGTTATGATAATATTTCAGACACCACATTCAAGAAAACATCCGTAGACAAGAAAGGTAAGTGTTTAAGCACATAAAACATAGTTTTACTTGTGTAAAAACAAGTAAAGATAATATTATCAAATAATAATAATGTATGAGTGAGCAATGGATTGGGTTAGTACACAAAAAGGGTTAGTGGAGTAAGTCACGTTTCAGGGGAAAATGAGCTTTAAGGAATGTGTCAGATTTGTTCTTTCACCAAAACAAATGTGAATTGTGAATATTTCTAAATGTTATTAAATTACTAAAATCTTGTAATAAATATTAAGCAGAAAGTTTTTGTGCTTTTATGAGTATCTGCACATTATCAATAAAGTTAAGACAGGTTCTCATGTCTTATTGGTGTATTTTAAATTAAGCTTTTATGTTTCATCAACTGATGGATGTGTTTACAGTTTGTGTGATCATTTGCACATAATAAAAAGTATTGGACAATTAGTAAAACGTTTCGCTCTGCGAGCAAAGTTCAGCCTACATTTGGACAACAAAAACCAAAAAACTGCAACATCCTACACACATTTATCTTCTCTAGACAGAAAATATATTTTTCAAAGCCCTGACTTTCCAAATGATCCACCTCTGAACCAGCTCAGTTGTAAGAAGTTTCTTTACAACACAGCAATCAGGTATAAGCACTGTAGAAACACAGCGACTAAGTTCCACTTTTTTCAACAAATATAGGAGTCAGGAAAGAAAAAGAGGATGGAGATCACTGAGGAGAAGCAGAAAGTAGAAAAGTACAATGCATAAAGAGATTTAGGACTTGAGGGAACATAGCATTAAGTGAACAAGACAAACTTTATTAGTTCAAATCTGAATGACACCAAACAACCTTTTTATAACATATGGAGTGAAAATACCAATAAAATGGTTTTTGCCTCTAGTTCAGTAATCAGCAGCCTGTTTTTACGTTCACGTCTTTAACCACATGCATGTGAGATTTTACTCCAAGAGGTCATCATCACTTTTTGTACATTAGTATTGGCAAATAATTGTGCAGCAACTATTGAACACAGGCTGTTTTGTAACATGCATCTCAATATGTTTCTGATTCACAAATTTATCTACAATCACCCAAACTGTATGGATGAGTATTCCAGAAAGCATTGTTAATTACATTAGAGTTTAATTAGTCGTTTGACTTGGATTTTTAAACTATTTTTAAATGTTTCCCATTAAGATTAAATAAATTGATATAAGTTGTCGAGGGGTAATTCACCTAAAACAGTCTACAAAATCCTCACACAGCAACAGTCCCATTCCAGAGAGAGAAACAAAAAACAAACTCATATTCACAAAAGTACATCAGGACTCCAATGGCGCGATTCATCTGGAATCATTTCAAAACTCAGCAGGTTTTGAAATGACCAGTTGGTTTTCTTTTATTCTCAGTACATGAAAATAAAAGACCTCATGTACTGATTTGATCTTGGCCTCTGGGCATACGTAAACCTCTTTCTTGATGGTAGTAGTCTGAACTCTGCAGATGATTCCAAGGGTCTTTCAGGATGAATCTTTCCCTCTTAGTGTCTCTTGTTCTGAAGAACCGATAAAGGTCTTTTAAGCACCTCCCACTTTCTTTGTACTGACCTTAACTATATGCTCATCAACCTCCTTTTGTTTCCCATGCTAAGGCCATGCTAACAAACCAGTTCACCATCACAAAAGTTCAGTAAAAGAAAATAATGCATTCTTAAGCGATTGATACACATTAAAACCGAGTTTCTTTAAAATAGTCTCAGCTTGGCCTTCTTGCAGATGGTTAGCCTCAAAGCTAGCCTGTTGTCTGGAATGGAGTCCATACTGGCTGACAGTCTCTATCATTTACCACTGATAAATGTTGGTACAGTCATAGTCAAAGGCTGTCTTCTTCAAAAATCCATCAGTATATCTTACTTTTGAAACATTTAGCTGCAAGCATGAATTATTGCACCAATGGATCAACTGGTCTAAAACTGGATTCTGGCCTTGGTCTCTGGCTGGGATCTTTCTGTTTGGAGTTTGTCTGTTCTCCTCATGCTTACTGTATGTGAGTTTTCTCTGCTACTCTGGTTTAACCCCAGAGCCAGACATGAATGAGTGTTCAGATAAATGTCCATTTCAATTCACTGTGTGTAAGTCTGCGGCTGCCTCGTTGTGCCCTGCCTTGTGTGTGTGTGATGGAGTAGCAACCTGTGTATCCCTGGTTCATCTCGTCTCTCACCCTCTTATTGTGGGAGGTACTATCATGGTCTCTGAAAGGAGTTGGATGGATTAAGTTGGCATGATCTTATTAAAACCTTCTGTCTTTTTTCTGTAGGTATATGTATGGAAACACTGCGGGACACGGGTATAGCTGAATACTTCAGTCCTGATGATTTAAAAAATGGCACGATCGTTTGTAGAAGCAGATGTGACCAAGAACGTACTGACGCTTTAAAGTGCCATAATAAGGGGACCTGCAACATCTTCAAAGGGTTGGGAGAGATCTGCATGTACGTTGATGTGCTTATTTTACCTAACAAACAATATCAACTTTTCACTTTTCCAATTCTAGCATATCTGTTGCTATAGAGATCAAGAGCTGTAACTCAGAAAAACTGCAGCTTATTAGATTATACTGATTTCACAGTCTTATTAGTCAAACTTAATCTATATTTCCAAATGATGAGAGAGATACAGTATGAAGGTCAAAGTAGACAGTCTTCTAAGAACTGAGCAGTTCTTCATTCCTCACTGCAGTTTATTTAACTTTAAAATGTTTAATTGAAGACACCTTCCTATGTTCCAGTTCAGTGCATCACAGTCGATCACACTGACTTGGTTCATGTAAAAGATCAGTTAAACATTCCTGCTAAAGTACTAAATAAAACGAAGGAAAAACAACTTTTAGTGAACAGGTTGTTATATGATTTAGTTTTTAGCATCCCAATACAATTTTTCTATTAATATTTAAATTAATATTTAATTACATTATTCACTACACTTTGTTGTTTGTCTTTAATTGTGTTTTGATTTATTCCTTCCTTAGATGTGACAAAGTGAACGACAACTGGTACTTGGGAGAGAATTGTAACCTCCCCATACAGAAAGTTCCGTTTTATGCAGGGCTAAGTGTGACCCTTGCTGCCCTGCTGGTTGCTGTGGTAACCCTGGTTGCATATGCTGTTGTCAACAAACGCAAACACACACAGTAAGTAAGCTGTGATATGTTTTTTTGTTACAAAACATGATCCTACTAACAAAAAGGGAAAATGACTAAGTGCTTTGCCTTTAATGTATTCATGAATGATACATTTTACAGCACATTAAAAGCAGAACTTTAAAACAGACATAGTGTAGTGATGTAGTGTTATCCCCTTATGGTAGAGAGGACTAATTCACATGGAAAACTAAAGTCACCAACTATGAATACTGAGGGAGGCTGGGATGGAAGGGACCGTTGAAGAGTAATTCATGGCCAATAGCAGATAAAATCAAGAATATGTTGACAATGATCACACACTATCATTCTACTAATCTTTAAGCACTCAGTATTTTTTCACTGAGTGCTTCTTGCTGTAACTGGTTGTACAGAGAATGAAACACTGGTTGTTCACTCTCCTGTAGCAGTGTATGCTGGACACAGAAAATGATGCCTTAGCAAGAGATTTGTTTCTGTTAGTTTGTTAAAGTCGTCCTTATTTAGCTACTAACACCTTAGATGGTTTTACAGTAGATAGAAAACTGAAATATATTCCAATAACATCCATGTTGACTAATTTGAGAACATGTATGACCGAGCAATAGAATGAGGATATAAGTGTAGTAATGCTAATGGTTAAAGGTTAGAGGCACTAATATTACTCTAAATCCAAGCTGATTTTCAGCTCAGCAATATTCTAAGAACAGATACACATTCTCAGTATTTTGTTTCTGCAGAAAGAAAGATGTGAAGCAGAAATTGGTGAACCAGTGGCTGGATGATGACTATGAGTGGTCCAGAGCTGCAAGCCCAATAGGCAAACCTGGAGCAAGTAAGATTCTAATCCATACGCATGACAGTTATGGGTCCAAGTAGAAATTTGAATATGAATGTTTTTTTTTTTTCTTTATCAACTATTTGTATCTGGGAAAAAATAAAAAGGGAAACTAAGAAAAAACAGTACATGTACAAAAAAGTGTTTTTTCTTTTTGAAAATACATGTTGGAAGTATTCCAAAATAATTTCCAATTGCATAATTCACAAAAAATACTAAAGAGAAATGTTTAAAATTTGTATGCAACATTTATATTATTTGGTTTGAGTTTAAAAAGTAAATCATTGGGTACAAATGAAGAGATCACTTAAAATGATCAGTTTCTCTTGATTTTACTTTTCATAGGTAAATGTTTGAGTAAATTGAACATTGTTATTTTATTCTATGAACTACTGACATGTCTTTGAAATTCCAAGTAAGAATTTTGTATTTATTTGCAGACATGAGAAATGGCCAAAATCATGAAAAAGATGCAGCTCTTTCAGACCTCAAATAATGCAAAGAAAACAAGTTCATGTGCATTTAGAAACAACAATACTAATGAAATCAGTATTTGGTGGAATAACTGTGAGGTTTTCAATGGATTTCAGAGAAGTGATCTGTTCATTTTTTCCAGAGCTGTATCTGTGGACACTTTCCTGAATTTTACAAGAACACACAATGTTATTAGACCAAGTAAAGCACAGATAACACATTAAAGCCTTTTGAACGATGGAAAGACTTTGACAGTGCTC